GATTGGCTTAAAGCCACATAACCTCCACAGTTGATTAGTCATCTCGGCAGTAAACTGGGAGCCCCAATCCGAGAGGATCTCCCAGGGAAAACCCATCAGGACTTCGGCCAAAGTCTCTGCCTGAATGTTGCTCAGGGCGACTGCTCGGGCACTGAGTAGAGTTATCCACAATAGTTAGATTATACTTCTTCCCAGAGGGGCTAGGCTTAGCCAGGGGGCCTATGATATCGACAGCTACTCTGCCAAAGGGGTCTTCAATGATGGGTAGGTGCTGGAGCAGGGCCATGCCCCGATCGCCCCGCTTCCCTACTTTCTGGCAGAGATCACAAGTCTTGCAATACTGTTTCAGATCCTTCAAGATGCCTGGCCAGAAGAAGCTTTGTGTGAGCCGATGCTGAGTACGGCCCTTTCCCAAATGCCCTGCCAGTGAGCTATCTTCAAAAGCACATGCCAATATTTCATTGGGGGCCACTAACTGATTGGTGGTAGTAGGAGCTGTCCCTGACTTTCCCTTTTCCGCTATGTGGATAAATCATTCCCCGTCCTTCCCCACTGACCAGTGGCTGCCATATTCCTATAAGTCTGGAGGGTAGGGAAGGATACTACCTCCCTCCCAAACTCGGCGGGGTATCCCAAGACACTGGAACCGTGGAAAGAGGGGGACTACGGGGCACCACGGTGAGGGGGCTTGCCCGAGGGGCCTGTCTACAGGGATGACTACATGCAACTGGGGTAGGGGAACTAGCCTGATGGGGTCTGCAGGGGACAGAGGTATGGGAATAGGTGCCTACCTTAGTATGAGCCATGTGGAACGTTTCTTCCAGAGCCGGGAGGGTCACATAGGTGGAGGTAAGGTGGCCCAGGTCATTGCTCAGTAGCACTTCCACTAGTAGCCAGTCCATGAGCCCGACTTCCACTCTCTGGGCTCCAGCGGCCCAGTCGACGTGGACGTGGGCAGTGGCAGGATGGACCCACCTGCTACCTGGATGGCAACCATACCCCTGGTCTTCTCCTCCTTGGTAACAAGTTGGGGTCGAACTAGCATTAGGGTGGCTGTGGTGGTCCCGGTTATCGGTGGCAGCATGGATGAGGTTCACTTTTTTTTTTTTTTTTTATTCTTTATTTTATTTGTGCACGAGATAACATAAAAGCTGACGATGCCACAACAGCATAGTACAAGCCCATTAAAGAAAGGTATTTCACATAGATGGCATTGAATTATTGGCACATTTTTGTATTTGTAAGAGGATAAACAAGCTAGGTACACATCTAATTGTAAGTCATCAGAGTGATAAGCGGTAACATCAGTATGCATAATGTAGTGAGCATTAGAAGAGTAACTGTGATGCAACTGAATGTTGCGTATGATCTGGCATCATGACTAGTCTGGATAATGCTATACAGTTAACTGTTCTAAGATAGGCTAATCTAACTGTCAATGCTTCCGGTATTCAAGCGGCAAAACAGTCATATAACACATTTAAACAAAACTTTGCGTTAGAGGGCCTGTGTGTACAATTTTATAGTAAGTAGATAAACATGCAGGAAAATTCAAAATATGATAGCAGGAATTGGTGAGACTCATTCACATATGTGTAGATCATGCTAGACTTGCGGATGCTGATTTAATCGCATAACATGCTGGCTAGGAGTATAACAACAGGTTAGGTACGCCGTCACAGGTTATGTAGATGGATAAAAACAAGCTATAAGCAGTCTTACTCCTTATGACTCTCATCCCAAGCGGACTGTCATTCTTGTTTTTCGTCGGCTTAGCTGTAGCTTTGCCCGGTTGGGGCCCCTCCGGCTGCGCCTTGGTCTTGCGCCGGTCTGGGTATGGAGCTCTGGCTGGCTCCCATGCTGCGGGTGTCTGGGTCCCTCCGCTGGCCCGTGGTGGCGTTGACGACTGGTGTTGATGCTCCAGACGGTCCCAGAATTGCCTGCATATGGCGTCGAACCTCGTCTGAAAGGCTATGGCCCAGTCAGTGGGTGCTTGTGCTGTGTGGGCGGCGGTGCAGTCAGCCATCTTAGTGAGTCCTTGTGTCTCCCGCCAGTCAGCCTTGCGACCTGATTCAAGTTGTGGGTGAGTGCTCACATTTTGGGGATAGACCGGGATGACCCCCGCCGGTCCATAGGGGGGGGAACGAGGACCCTGATACAGAAGCTCAGTCGGTCGTGGTGGCAGAGGAGCGGCCGTCTCCCCTGCACTCGCCATGCTTGTAGGCCTCAGACTCCTGTCAGGCAAATGTTGCTCCAAACGGCTTGTAAGTGGTATCAATTTGTGCTGCTGGTTGTCGCCTTTTGTTTGGTGACTGTCTTGCTTCAATAAATTGTCGTTTGGGCAATGAAAGTTTACTTTAATCGTTGCCTGCAGCAGGAGCTGTTGAGGTTTGCTTCCTCTCATCTCTGCAGTCAGGCCCCGCCCCTCGAGGTTCACTTTTTATGCACGAAGGTCCAGGTTTCCTCGTGGGGGTGCTGGGGTTCCATGGGGGCACACTGGTAACAGAGGGCAGCTGCTTGCGGAGCAGGAGGGACCACTGAGCTTACCCACTGGGATCGGCTTTTGGACTGGGGCAATTCTGTTTGATGTGACTGGGCTGCTGGCACTGGAAGAATCGCTGGTCCACCCTGGCCGGTGCCTGCTGAGAGGCTGTCTGAGCCGGGGGACGACTGAGTGGAATGGTTGAAGCGGGGTTAGGTTGTGGGAAAAGTCGCATGGAGGGTCAGTAGCTGTGCGAGGTAGTGGGGCATTGGGGCCACTGGATATCTACATACTCGTCGGCCCACTGGGTTTCTTTGGTTAAAGTCTTGGGCTGACAGTCTCTCACCCATCCCAGCATCTTGGTAGGGAGCCTATTATAAAAGTGCTCCAGTATGAACAGCTGTGTAGCGGATGGCACTGGGCTGTCCTGGGAATTGTATTGGTTTTTACTGCATTCGTCTAATTGACAAGTTGTATGTGTAATAATGTACTGTATTCGTCTGATTGTTCAGTAGAATCATTCTAACAAATAAGGGAATGAAACTACCAAACAGTCAGACCTCCCCGGTGTGAAGTGTGCCTTCAATTACCCATTGCAACATTGTTGCGAACGGGTAATTGACTAGCTGTACAGTAGTCCTTTGTTCTCGGGCCATTTTAAAACTCCCGAACAGCGGTGTTTTGCCGTCGAGTGTCTGGAACTCAAAACGGACACTCGACTAGGCGAATGCCGCTGAGACCTCCACCAGCCCGGCCCGTTTGGTAGACAGAAACAACAGTCTCTGTAACTAGAGGCTTTTGTGGGATTTATTCCCTTGTTCCAGGACCGACCGCAGGGCCCCATCGCATGGAGCCCAATTTGGCTACTCCTTCCAGCGCGGTCGGTCATTTTATTCCCTCCATGAATTTCCCGAACCCCTGGTCTGATCTGGGTGATTTTTGGATATGTTGTTCACCCAGATCAGGTCTACCAGGGGATGTATAATTTAAAGTGGTACCCCTAGGTTTAGGGGTACATCCAGAAACGGAGGGAATTGGTGTCCTGAATAAGGGGATTATGATGCAGGCTGAGGGGAGGGGATGTGTGGGAGGTTACCAGAACAGGATTGGCTACTGTATTAATGAATGGAAATCCCTCCCTTGCATGGGAGCATGCTTTATAAGGCCACTGTCTGAATAAATCTTGAGTTCTGCTCCTGATACTGTGTGTCGTCCAGTTATTGGGAGTGCTGTTGGGATACTACTACATTGTTTTACCTGCTGGATACCTTGCCTATGGATTTATAATTACTTGTTCCTGAGCCCACTGGGATCTACAAGTGGAGGTAGGCTATGAAATACTAGCTCTCTGGAGGATCTCTTCGGGAGACTTTGCCTTCTGGAAGTTCATCCAGTTCTCGGTAGCTTGGGTGATGTGACATGCCCACTCTGCATGGAAGTCCTTCTCCCCCTTCTTCCTCTCCCTGAACTTTCTGTGGTATTCCTCCGGGGTGATGGCATATCTGGCTAGCAGGACCTGTTTTACAAGGTCGTACTCACTGACCTTGTCCGCAGGTACAGCCCGGTAGGCATTTGACGCCTTACCCACTAGCTGTCTGGCCAAGATGGTGACCGAGTCGGTGGGGGCTACTTCTTGTAGGAGGCACTGGCATTCAAAGTCCTGCACTGGCATTCGAAGTTGATGATACACTCCTCCGCTTCCTTAAACTCCTTTAAGGCATCGTAGGGACATTTGTGTTTTCGGGCAGGGGTTGCCGGACTCCCAGGGGACCTTTTTCCTGCCCATCGTTCATTGGATTGTGTGGGGTTCGTCCCGTTCTTCTGAGCTAGGACATAGGCTTGCACCTCAGAGAAGATATTGTTCATACATTCCTCTGAGGGGGTTTCTTTGTAGAAGGTAAGGCGCCAGGCCAGTTCTTTGTGAAAGGTATTCTCTTTGCACTCCTGCTGTGGTACAGCTGCCCCATGATGATCGTCCTCCATGAGGGCATCAATCAACTCCTCGGTGCGAGTGCCGGCTGATTGCCCTCTGGCTTCCAGCAAATCGTGTAATGTTGCCATCTTTAAATTCGTGTAGGTCATGGGTATGTTCGGCTCATGAACGCTGGTTCCGTACGGCTGGGAAGTGTGATCCTGCCGCTTGCCACAAGTTGTAGCAGACCCAGGGTAACCCGACCGGTTACCTTCGCTAATTCCCTTCCTTCAGCTGGTCGGGAACAGTTTAAAGTATACTGTAACAGATGCCCTGTTGCTAAATATTACGTTTTATTTCACCTGGGTTTCCTGGATCAGTATATGCACCCAACCGAACAGGTTTGCCCCATTTGGTTCATATACCGAATAATAACCGAACCATTAGACCACCCAAAGCAGTCGCGTGCCGCCAGTTAACCTTACTGACATTTTACCAACCTCAACTCGGAACATTCTAAGTGGTTCACTGGGTGGCCGTCGATTCATATGCACGAACACGTGACGGCGGCCATCTTGTTTTTGTCAAATGTGTCCAGCTGTGTTTGGTCATCGGTATGGAACTATTTTCGGACACTCAACAGCCCGAACACCGCTGAGACTTCCAGCATCACTTAGGTTTGTTACATTGTAACTCTGTCATTATTGGTTTGTAAGTTTGTGTCACAGTCCCCAACAAGGTCCTTGCTTGGAGACTTGCATTAAAGCAGACCAGTTTTACCCTCCACACAGAGCCTTGCCTCGCGTAGCTATACACGCTTTAACCATTAGATCTTATAAGAGCTTCACAGCTATATCTACTTCTTCACTGCTTGGGTTGATGGTTTGAAATACTGCAGCGCTATCTACTATAAGGGGTAAAGGACATCCCTGGCGGCGGAAACCCCTCCTAGCAGGGTGGCCGTTACATATACAGAGACATATTTTCCTCCCAGTAACTGGACGACACACAGTCCTGGAGGTACAACACAATTTTATTGGCAACACACTGGTTTATTGCATAACCTCATGCAAGGAGTCTACCACACAGTCATGCAGGGTCCCATCCCAAGATCCTCCCCCTCCCTGGGGTCTCATCCCAAGATCCTCTGTGCCTTTGTCTCCCAGGTACAGAAAAGCCCGCCTGTGGGAAAAGAACTGGTCTCCTCAGGTTCAGAATTCGTGTAGGTCATGGGTATGTTCGGCTCATGAACGCTGGTTCCGTACGGCTGGGAAGTGTGATCCTGCCGCTTGCCACAAGTTGTAGCAGACCCAGGGTAACCCGACCGGTTACCTTCGCTAATTCCCTTCCAAACTCGCCAGTGCCCCAAAAGTGCCCACACCAATCTCAGAAACCCTCGCCTCGGTACCTTGATTGACTAGTCCTTGTTTTTGAGGTCCTGATGTGAAACCCAGACGAGGGAAATGGCTCATTTCACGGCATGAATGCTCCCCCTGACTGGCATTCATCTATACAAATGGGTGACACCCAGGGGAGCACTCATTAACAACTTTCCTATGCCACCCAGGGGAGCACTCATTAACTACACACCTATGTTGCGAGTGCGATTAATTGGTGTGAACGTTCTAATGAGGCACCGGGGAGGTCCTCGTTCGGGAGATGAACAAGTCGGGAAACAATCAACGAATGCCCCCCTGGTGGCGTTTGTTACAAAATGTCTTTTGTCACTGTTTCTTTAAGTGACAAATTGCCCTGTTCCCCTGGATTATAAAGAAGCCTACTTACCAGCCTCCTTCCTCATGACTATGGCCCTGATGTGTATGGCCCTTTAAGAACCATCTGTGGGCACATTATGATTTTGGTGAACAATGCCCCTGTAAGACTATGTCCCCAGACCTGTAAAATAAATTGTTTGTGCTTTGTCCCAATTGGTTCAGTAAATGGGGCTTACTGAACCAAGTATTACACAGGCGGACCACACAGAAGTGGAAGCGTGCTGCTAATTTACCTCAAAGGCTGGGAGGCTGCTGTAGGTAAATTGACGACCGCTGGGTGGCCGCCGTTCGTACAAAAATGAACACGTGGCGGCGGCCATCTTTATTCAGTCGAACGCGGTCAGCGGTGTGTGCCCCTGAATCTATGGAACTAAAATCGGGGAATCAAAGTGCGTTCGTTGATTCGAACGCTATGCTATACTGAGCCATTTGCATGAACGGAGCCCGTTCATGCATTCGAACAGGACTTTTGCAGTGTAAAATAGACCGACAGCACAGCCCATATCTATGGAACTGTTTGGGCAGGTGTAACGGACCGTTTTGCACACAAGGGGTAAAAACCGTTTAGGCGATCGTCCCCCTTTCCAGAGATGCAGGCACAGCTATTATAGAACACCAAACACATGAACCGCCAATAAGTGAATGCTCCAAACTCCCGAACGGCATCCAATATAGCACTTCCAAACACACGAACAGGAACCATACGAATCGCTGCTAGCAGACGAATAGGAAAAGCATCCTAGCGGCTTACACTCCAAGCAATCAGTCTCTATCCGCATTCAGTAAATCCCCCCAAAGACGAGACAAGGCTCCGTGTTAAGGGTCAAGCAGTGGTCTGTTTAATGAGGGCTACCTGC